ATTATGAAGGAATTCAAGGGGGAAAAATCACGTATTTGGACAGTTTTCTCCATCTGTTTGCAGTGTCCACATGCTTGTCTTTAGCTAACTCCAGGAAATGACCTCAAGAAAAATGAGACTTGATATGAGTTGAAATGATATTAATATTTTCATTTTCCTGTTCCTCATGAAGCAAAATCAAATAATGAAGGTGAAGGAATCCTCCTAAAATTTCCATGTATATTGAAATCTTCTAAACCTATATGGGTCTGAGTTAGGGTAAGGAGAGACGACTGGGGTTTTCTTAGAAAGCTATACTATTAAAGACTGAAAAAAACTGGAAAGTAGAAATATCACACAAGCATATTATATTTTTAAAAACAATCTGGATATTTGAAATGTGTAAGTAATTATTATTTTATGGACTCATGAATATCGTTCAACAAATACTTACGATTCTTCTCAGGCATTCCATTTTACGCTCCCCTTTACATTAACAATGACCTCATGACTGCTTCAGCACATGAACTTTAGGAGGGACTGAGTGTCACACCTGGGAAAAAGCTTTAAGAACTAGTGGACACTTGCCAGAATCCCCCGTCCCTCGCATGACAGGCATCTCCAGACTGGATTTTTCATCAGTCGTATTCTTGGGGTGTAGAGGCTTGGCACAGTCTCCCTGATCTTCTCCATTTCGTAAACCTATACAACATCAGAGAAAGAAACTTCTGTTATTTTTGGATATTGGGATTTAGAATTTATGTTGCTACTGCAGAATCATCTGCTCTATTCTGCGAGACAGAGCCTATTTTGAGATTCTTTTGTATATTGGGAGAGAAAGGGCTTTGTACTTCTAGAAAGAGAATGCTTTGGAAACTCACAGGGCGATTTCTTCCCTCTTCTACAGGATTACTGACTCAGAATCCACTTTATGGCAGTGATTTTGCTTTGGCTTTTGTATATTGGATGTTTATGAATTATTGTGAAGATTCATCATAATATGCATCGTTTTTGATATCTTGTTTAACTTTTTAACCACTTTATTTCTGATAGCCACTGTTACTTTAAATAGTTATAAATGAAATGTTAAAAAGCTTACATGAATGTGTATGGATTTTAAAGTAGATTTGTTATAATTTGCATATATTGATCTCATATTAGATATGTGTGTTATATATATGTATTGTACAGGTATATATATTACATATATTATATTGTTATATATATTATATATGTTTCACACAGTGCCATTGAGTCAATGGTGACTTATAGCAACCTCATGTGGGGTTTTAAGACTGTAACTGTTTTTTGGAGTAGAAAGTCCTGTTTTTCTCCTGTGGAGCTACTGGTGGTTTCAAACTGCTAACCTTGTGGATCACAGTGCAGCACTTAACCACTACACCACCAGGGCCCCATGTTATAGACATACACAGACATACTATATATATGCATATATCTTGTATGTATATATACAGATGTAAGTATATATATATATTTGATAATTCATTGGCCCATCTTTTATATGCTATTACTTTGCAAATGCCCATAAAGAGGTAAATTTGTATAATTATCATATTAACTGGTCTTCCGTGTAGGTGTGTAGATATTATCACATTACTGACAGTGTTGCACTGCAGGGTAGAACTAGAAATACCCTTTATTGATTATATAATGCCATTTGTCTCCCATTGGTTATACCAGGCACCATAAACCATATAATTTTCTGATTCACAATGACCAATACCAGCTCATTTCAGCACAGTGATGCCAGGAATATTGATCTTTGTGAATTCCATTTCATCGTTTATGACTTTTAATTTCCCTACATTCATATTTTATTAAGTCCGCTGTCTGATGGTCAGTGCCGCTGTTTCCTCTCATATGGAATCTTAGCACATCAACAAATGAAGTTCCCCAAATCTTACTCATGTCAGTAAAGTTGGCTCCTCTTTGAGGAGGCAACTAGTCCTGAGAGACTCATCTTTCAGCATTAAATGAAACAATGTTCACAAGGTTTCCTCGGCCCATTCCCCCCCCCCAGAATTGGATAACCAAGGCTTCCTTCTTAGTCAGAACGTTCTGTTGAAATGTGTCCCTCATCCGTGATCCTCTGGTGTGTAAAATACTGGTAGCAGAGCTCCCGGCAGCACAGCAGCACTTAAGACCCTAAATCAGGAAATGTGTGTGTCAGGATTGTCCTTTCACCATATCTATTAGATCTGTATGCTGAACTAATATTGCAAGAAGCTGGACTATGTGAAGCTGGACTATGTCAAATATTTCAAGGAGCTGGACTCTGTGAAGAATGGCGAATCAGGGTTGGAGGAAACGTTATTAACAGCCTTTGATGTACATATAACCTGCTCGCTGAATGGGAAGAGACCGTGATGAAGGTGAACGACTGCAAACTTCAGTGTGTATTACACCTCAATATAAGGAAAACAATAATCCTCACCACTGGACCAATAAGCAACATCCTGATACATGGAAAGAAAAACCGATGATGTGCAGGATTTCGTTTAGCTTGGGTTCACAAACGGTGTCTGTAGAAGCAGCAGTCAAGAAATCAAAAGGCATGTAAAAAGAAAAAGAAATTAAATGACATTGCATTGGGCAAATCTTGTCGAAGAGACCTCTCTAAAATCCTAAATAGCACGGATGTCACTTTGAGATCTAGGGCAAGCCTACCCACACCATGATATTTTCAGTCATCTAATATACATATAAAAAATGAAGCGTGAATAAGGAAGGCTGAAAAGGAATGAATACATTGGAATTATAATGCTGGTGAAAATATTAAATACACATGGAGTGTCAGAAGAATGAACAAATCTATCCTGGAAGTAGTATAGCCAGGATGCAGTAGTATAGTGAGGATGGTGAGGCTTTATCTCCCATACTTTGGATATGTTACTAGGAGAGACCAATCCCTAAAGAAGGACATCGTGTTTGGTAAAGTGGAGACCGCCATAAAGAGGAAGACCCTCAATGGGAGGGACTGACACAGCAGCTGCAACAGTGGAGTCAAGCACAGCAAGGATTAGGAGGATGGTATTGGATGGGGCAGTGTTGCTCTGTCCCCAGTGGGAATTCTGTTGAAGAAGAATGTTTTTGTTTTTGGAATGAAATGTTTTCCTGTCTACCATTGTATTACTGTTTTGTTCTTAAGAGATGATTTATCACCATTTCTCTGGCGTCAGACAACAGAGCTTGATGAGAAAATTTTGAGCTTTACAATAGGTCTGTATGTATTTCATTCACTTTTTATGCATAATTCCAAGAATCCGATATGCCAATCTTTATCCCATGAGCTTCTTAAATGTTCTCATAATAGTCCCTAAATTGGTGCTCAATGAACTTAGTGCAGCAATCCTTTTTATTACAATACTGTTAGAACACAGTTATATTAAACCTTAACTAGTAGGATATTGCATAATTCTTAATATATTTATGTGAAGAGTTGTTTCAGTTATTTGGAGAGTTTTTTTCCCTACATAGCACACAAATGTATATGCTGCTCGTAAAATTATGTATATTGGGTAATAAGCAAATTATTTGCCTCATTTTTTATAATCATGATCATAATTGATTTATTCTTTCATTTGTTGGGTATTTATTAATACATATGTTTAAGATAGGAATCTTAGTAGCACAATAGGTAAGCATGACAGTTAACCCAAAGGTCAATGATTCACAACCACTAGCAGCTTCCTGAGAGAAAAGGCTTGATAATGTACTCACTGAAAGATTACAGCCTGTGAAATTCTAAGGCAGCTCTCCTTTTACCTGTATGGTCACCATGAGACTGAATTGACTCAATGGTACACAACCACAACCACATATTCAAGACCCAATGCTAAGTGTTACCAATCCAGAGACAGTCTCTTAGGGAGTTCACATCATAGCTAGATAAACAGATGCATAAGCAGACATTTACTGCAACTGCATGATGATGATTCCTACAGCGGAGATTTGTGGAAAGTAATGTCAGAAAGAGTAGAAAAAAAGCATTAGTTCTTCCCAAGGAAGGACCAAGGACCATGGAGGACTTCACTGAAATGAAGACATTTGAATTGGCCATTTAATGCAACATTTCAGTGCTGAGAACTAATTATTATTAGTAGATTATTGAAGAGTTAACCCCTGTATCTATAGTGTCTAATTAAGGAACTTTCCATTTAAAATGAGTTTTCCCCTAATTTTTTATGTCATAGAAATTTGCTTTGGAAATTTGGAGGTTTTAACAATGGTACACATTTAAAATATTTACCTGCCTTAATGGTCAGTCATAATATATGCTGCTTAGGGAATTAGATTAGGCGCTGCAAAGACAACCCCCCACACACCAGGTGCCTGCTATCTTTTTAATGTTAAGATTATGGTTTGATCTTCGGCCATAATCCTAAAATGTGAATCTATTTGATGTGAACTTCTCAGTTTCTCATTTTTCAAACTAGTTCCTCCTAAGTGGGGTATTTGTGAAGACCAAATACGATAATGCCTGTGTAGAACTTGGGATAATTAATGATACCTATTTAAGAATTCAATAAGTGTTAGCTATTGTAAGAGTGGAACTGACAACAAAATTACAGGTATATTAAAGAGTGTGGTGCAATTAGGAAGGTTGAAAATTTGATGAAAAATGTTTTCCGGAAAAGGTATACCTGAATACTTGAAAGCGAAAAAAGGGTGACTTGGTAAAAGGTTGTTGAGTGGAGAAATTGTCCCGGCAAAATACCAATGGCTCTATTTTCCCAAGGGATACTGATTTTAAATTCCAGTTGTTTCTCATTTCAATGAACTCCTATGATGATCAGGTTGGTGAACAGCCCTACAGTGGGCTGTCAGAATTTGACTGTAGATGTTTGAAAACTGTGCTGTGATTATACTCTGGGCTAATTGCTTAATTTATTGATGTTTTGCTGACATGTTTTTCAGCAGCATTTGTGATTGCGGAGAACGAATCATTTCTACCGGACTCATTATCATATGCTTGCATTTGCTGTGTCTGCTTACCGCAGGTGGAAACAATAGGGGATGCGTACTGTGTTGCCGCAGGCCTCCACAGGAAGAGTCTCTGCCACGCGAAGCCCATTGCCCTGATGGCCTTGAAGATGATGGAGCTTTCAGAAGAGGTGCTGACGCCGGACGGAAGGCCCATTCAGGTACCCGTCTCAGAAATCTTGATTGAGTGGTAACTGTACCATTAACTGAAGGAGCCAGGCCTTTCCTCCTGCATTCTACTTACTGTAAAATATAGATTCAGATCAAGTACTCAAGAAAGACTAGAGATGACAAGAGATAACTCATAGATGCAGAAGAGTCCGTGGAATACAGACTAAAGTAGGAAGAGGAATGTGGAAGGAAAGTTGCCATAGAGTAAAGGGGGGGAGGGCTAACATTTTGGAGCAAAGGAAGGGGAAACTTGCTTCCAGTGACACTCCAAGATGAAGAATGGAAGACCTGGGTCGTCCTGTGGGTAGTATCCAGGGTTCCTATAGGAAGCTGCAGCCTCAGGGGTGGCTCAGCACCGTTCTTATGTGACAGACTCGAAGGTGGCAGCCCCACAGCTCAAGAAGCTTTGGAAAAGGTGGGAAATCAAGCGACTGGTATTTTGGACTCTTTGCACAACTGATAGTTCTCTATAGCCTGAGGATCTACCTCTGGGAAGTCGATTAGATTCCATGTCAGTATGTCTGTCAGAACCTCATGATGGAACCCAAAGAGTTGTTACTTGAATCCTTGCAAATGAAAGCATGATATTTGGGGCAGCAACCTTAAATTGAAGACAGTAGGCAACAACCCCAATAAAGAATACACGATGAGTCTAGGATCATGTAAGGATGGATATGGACATGAGCATATATGCGTAGGTACAGGTGTATGCATATATGAGAACAGATAGAACTATCTATAGGTATCTATACATATAGACATGTATAGATAAGTACATATATTCCTTAAAGGCCCTACTATGGATTCTCCTCAGACATAACCAAACACCTTCTGAGATTGATTTCCTGATTTTGAAACCTTAGGACCATAGCCACCTGGTACACCGCAGCCAACTGGGATAACTCAGCTCCCAAACTTCATGTTCTACACTATGAGAAAGAGTGCAAAAAACCCCCAAACCTAACTTGTCCTGTAAAGGGAAGTGAGTAACATCTGGGATATTAAAAATTTGCAAAGGTCCAGCTAAAAAAAGCTTTAGATCTCTTCTTGTCAGGAACGAAGGAATAGGACAGTCCCCAAAAATCTCAAAGAAGAACCAAATCTACAAGGTTGCTAACCTCATGAGCCATGACCTCAGCTACCCAGAAATCCAGCTACCACCACTCATCATTCCGACGGGGCCAAAAGAGATGTTTCTTGTTACCATGGGGGAGTGGTACAAAACAAAACTGAAATTCCCAAAAGCAGTGAAAGTAAATGAGTCCTCACTGAGACTACTGCCCTTTCACTCTTCAAACATGCCATAAAAATAATGTTGCTAAAAAGAAGAAAGGAATAAGAGAATAGCATAGTTTTATTTCATTTAATTAAATTCAAAATTGCTGTCCAGCACTCCCACCCCCAAACAGCTACAGTAAACTTTTTAGAAATTTGAAAGTACTCCCAAAAGTTCATGAGGAAATGGTTTAGGAATTTCCCAAGAACTTTTGAAGCTTGCTAGTATATGCATTAACAGAAAATTTGAAAAGGAAGGGAAAGGAATTATTAGCATAGATTTCAGGAAATGCTTACCCCAGAGAGAAATAAAGGAGCTGAAGGGAAGGGAGTAAATGTGATAGAGCAAGTGCATCTTGCGGCTGTACTCCAAAGCTCTTCATTTTATGACCGTTCTTTAATATGCCCTTACATGCTTACATTTGATGATTTAAAAAAATTAAGACTTTTCTAATTATCTTACTTGTAGTAAAAATATGGGAGTGTAGGATATTTTTTAATTGAATTTGTCCTTGCAGAGTGCAGTTATCTGAGGTGGTAATAGTTATTTAGGTATATGGCTTGACACTGCTACGACTTCCAGGAAAGACCTAATAAACTAACTAGAAAAAGACTGTTTCAGGTTTTCTGTGAACTGCAAAATAAGCACCTTCAGCAAATACATAATATTTCGTATATGTTCAAGTTTACTAGTTGGGCAGTTTTATCATTTAGTGCTGTTTCTGTGTTGAATTATCTTCTGAAAGTGGTATGATGTTTGTATTCATTTCAGCATTGTAAAAGCAAACTTAAATGACCAGAGAACAAAACCAGACAATTGCATTTTACCGTGTGCTCATCAATATTATCATTTCTAGGTTATAACATTAACTATCAGAAGAGGAAATGCCCGTAAAGATCTAATAAGATTACCGAAAGAGACTTCAAAATAATAAAACTACCTTATAAATTTAGCTTCCTTATTAGCTTACATTATTTACATGGTTTTGGAGTTCCTTTTCAACATATTAATTTGATTTTTCATTGACTTTGAGCTGGTACCTTGAGAACCTTTCTAAATTTACTGTGAGAACCTTTCATTATATATTATTGAGTAATTGGTTGATTGATTACCTTACATTATATAAAGTTTAAGCCGTCTAGAATTAGTTACTTGGATTACCATACTTATTTAAAACCAAGGACAATTACCCCAAACTCTCAAATGTTGAAAAATAATTTATTGCTAGGACTTTACACACCTTTGCAGCATCTTGCCATGATGGAAAATAGGAACCTGAATATTCAATCTCTTGTAAATGATTGGTAATGTTGATGATTTCTTGATGATATAATTTCCACGGTAGTTTTTAACTTGAAAAAAAAAACCAAGTGTGCAAAACCATCGGGCAGCATTTCACTCAATGGAGAAAAACGGAAAACATTCCCCTTGCAAACAGGAATTAACTAACACATCCTTTATCACTACTCTTATTTAATATAGTTTGGAAGTCTTATTCAAGATTATTATACATCAAACGAAATAAAAGGCATCCATACTGGCAAGGGACAAGTAAAACTCTCTTTGTTTGCAGATGATAGGATTCTATATCTAGAAAAAACCCAAATTTTGATCAAGAAATTGATGGAACGAGTTGAAAATTTTATCAGATTACAAGATCAATATACAAAATTCAATAGAACTTCTGTATACTAAGAAGTCTCAAAGGAATTTTAAAAATACCATTTACAATAGCCACTGGAAATAGTAAGTACTTAGGAAAAAATCTAACTAGAGACACAAAAACTTGTGCCAAGAATACTACAAAACATTATTACAAGAAAGTAAAAGAAAATAACATAAGTGGAACAGTGTTCCATGTTCATGGATAGGAAAACTTACTATTTTGAAAATGTCATTACTACCCAAAGCAATCTATAAACATAATACAATTCCAATCCAGATCCCTATATCATTCTTTAATGAAATGTAAAGAACTAATCACCAAATTTACAAGGAAAGGAAAGAAATCCAGAATAAGCAAAATACCACTTAAAAAGAACAAAGTAAGTAGCCTCTCATTCCCTGTTTCCAAAACCTACTACATAGCCAATGTGGTCAAAACAACTTGGCATTATTACAACAGATTTGTAGAACAAAGAAACAGAACAGAGAAGCCAGAAATAAAACCAAGCACTTACAAACAGTTGAATTTTGATTAGAAGTTGACCCCTTAAGTAGAGAAGAGACAGACTTTCAACAAATGGATCTGGCAAAATTGAATCTTCATTTGCAAAAGAATTAAACAAGTTCCAGACTTCACACCACACATAAAAATTAACTCAAATGGATTAAAGACCTAGATAGAAGTTCTAGAACTATAATGATTATTGGTAGAAAATTAGGGACAAATTTAAGGTCCACAACACAAAATATAAACAGATTACCAAACATAATGAAAAATAACCATACAATAGAAGGCAAAATAGAGAACTAGGATGTCATAAAATAAGGCATTTATGTGCATCAAAAGATTTCATTAAAAAAAGTAAAACAACTGGGAAATTATATTTGGCCATTATATATCAGAGAAAGGGATAATTTCTAAAATCTGTAGAAAATTGCAACACCTCAGTAAGAAAAAACCAACAGTCCAATTTTCACATGGGAGGAAGATATAAACAGACAATTTACCAAAGATGCAATCCAGGGACCAGCAAACATATGAAGAAATGCTCGAAATCACTAGCCACAAGGGAAATACAAATGAACATGACAGTGAAGATACCAATTTACACTGGCAATGATAGCAAAGTTAAACACAAACAAACAAAAAGAAAATAACAAATGTCGGAGATGTGGAGAGACTGGAATTGCTGGTGGGATTCCAAAAATCTACAGCCACTGTAGAAAGCAGTATGGCTGGTAGTCCTTCAAACAAATGGGAATAGAAACACTCTATGACCCAGCAGTCTCCCTACTTAGTATATACCCTAAAGAAGTAAGAAGTAAAATGTTAGCAGATACGTGTTCACCATGTTCATTACAGCACTATTAACAACAGCAAAATGATGGAAACAACCAAAATGCGTGATGTGGCGGAATGGATAAATACCTTAGCTTTAGGACATACAATGGAATACAATGAAAATCCCTGTAGAATAATGATAAAAATGTCAGACGATTCATGGCTCGTATGAATTTGGAAGATATTATGCTGAGCAGTGATGGGGAATCTTTGGGGTAGTGTGATGATTTTATGTCAACGAGACAGTCCAGTCCAAAGGTGGAGTCAGACTTGTCAATAAAGTGATGAGTGGATGACTTCTCCTTGGGGTGTGGCCTTTTTGTAAGAGTGAGGGGTTCTAGGAAACTGCCTCTCTTTCTGCCATTTTGCCTTTCTCCTTGATGGGACTTCACTGGGACTCTGTCTGCCTCCAGGAGCAGCCCCATGTCCCTCCCCCCTCCCCATTGTTGGGAGCGCTGTGCCCTGCTATGTTGCCACCAACCTTAGATTCCTGTGAGTTTGCACCCAGGCCTGTGATCTTCCTGCTTTCTGGTTCACCTTTCTGCGTCACCAGGCCCCAGCTATGTGGGTCTGAAGAGACACTTACGGACTAGCCTCAGATATATGGACTTGAGTTGAACTGGCTGGGGTGCCTTCTTGACATAAAGTTTTTTCTTATACATATATATATATATAAGTGTCACAGGATTTGTTTCTCTAGATCACGC